CGCTCCTTTATAATAACAAGATATTAGCTAGGAAAGCCTCAGACCTTAGGGAAACCCGAAGACAACCGGGGAGACAAAAACAAGGCTACTAGAGGAAGTTTCAGCCTCTGACACCTATTGCTCCTGTACCTTACATTAAAGGCCTAATTACCTCAGCTCACTTGATACATCAAGTGATGTATTAAGCTGGCTTTCAACAAAAATTACTAGTCATGCTAAAAGGGAAAACAAACAAACAAAAAGTACAACCAACCAGTCTGAAGAGAAAAACCAAACATCAGAGCTAGATTCAGATATGGCAGAGATTTTGAAATGATCAGACTGGGTATTTAAAATAACTATCATTAATATTCATATGGTTAAATGAATATTAATTAGCACCATGATAAATGGAGAAAAGATTGAAGTTGTCAGGGATTTCATTTTACCTGGATCCACAATCAATGCCTATAGAAGCAGCTGTCAAAAAAATCAGATGATGTGTATACTGCACTGGGCAAATTTATTGTAAAAGACGTCTTTAAAGTGTTAAAGAGCAAAGAGGTCACTTTGGAGACTAAGGTGCGCCTAACCAAAAGCCATGATATTTTCACTAGTTTCACAGGCATGTGAATACTGGACCATGAATAAGGAAGACTGAAGAATTGATCCATATGAATTTTGTGTTGGTGAAAGATACTGAAAATACCATGGACTGTAAGAAGAATGAACAAATCTGTTTTAGAAGAAGTACAGCTGGAATGCTCCTTAGAAACAAGAATGGCCAGACTTCATCTCACTTACTTTGGTCATGTCAGAAGGGACCAGTCCTTGGAGAAGGATATCATACTTGGTGAAGCAGAGGGTCAGTTAAAAGCAGGGACACCTTCAACAAGATGGACTGACACAGTGCTACAATGATGGAGTCAAACATAGCAAAGATTGTAAGGATGGTACACGATCGGGCAGTGTTTCATTCTGTTGTGCATGGGGTCGGTATGAGTTGGAATCAACTCAACGGTACTTAACAACAACAACAACAACATGATTAATATGCAAAGGGCACTCATGGAAAAAGTAGAAATTAGCAAGAACAAATGTAAAATGTAAAGAGAAATGAACACTGTAAGAAAAAATCAGCAGAAAATGTTATAAAGAAAAAACACTGCAACATGAATAAAGGTTGCCTTTGATGTGCTCATAAGTAGGCTGCACACTGGGGAAAGAATCAGTGAGCTTTATAGAAACTTCCTAGACTAAAAAGCAAAGAGAAAAAAAAGAATGGGAAAAAAAAAAGAGGAACCAGAATGTCCAAGAACTGTGGGGCAATTACAAAGGTAAAATATGCATAATGGAAATACCAGTTGGAGGAGAAAAAGAAAAAGGAACAGAAGAAATATTTAAAGTAACAATGGCAGAGAATTTTCCAAAATTAATGACAGATACAAACCCCAGATCCAGGAAACCCAGAGGGCCTCAAGCAGGATAAACACCACAAAATCTATACCAAGGCATATAATATTCAAACTGCAGGAAATCAAAGGCAAATAAAATCCTGAATGAAGCAGAGGGAGAAGGAAACACTAACTATAAAGGAACAAGGATAAGTACATTAGAATTCTCTTCAGAAACCATTTTAGTAAAGAAGAATGTAGAGTGAAATATTTAAACTGCTAAAAGAACAAACCACCAACCCAGAATTCTGTACCCAGGAAAATCATCCTTAAAAATTAAAGAAGATGAAAGACTTTCTGAGACAAACAAAAATTGGTGGAATTTGTTGCCAGTAGACCTGCCTTACAAGGAAGGAAAAAAAAAAAAAAAAAGTTCTTCTGAGATAAAGAAAATTAAATAGGCCAGAAACTCAGATCTACTTTAAAAAAAGAGCAAATATATTTTTTCTTATTCTTAATTTGTCTGACACAATAGTTTGTTCAAAATAACATAACTACAATATATCTGGTGATTATACCTTATGGGAAGTGAAATGAATGACAGCAAATGTTATAAGAAGTGATAAGGAAAAACTGAGAATACTCTGTTATAAGATACTTGCACTACCCATGAAGCACTGTAGTGTTATTTGAAAGTGAACTTGAATTAAATATACATTGCAAATTCTCAGGCAACTGCTAAAATTTTTTTTAAAGAAGTACAATAATTAGCTAAAAGAGGAGAGAAAATGTAATCATATAAATTGCTCAATTAAAGCTAGAGAAGGCTGAAAAGAAACAAAGAAAAAGAGGAACAAAAAGAAAAAAAAAGGTTACAAAAAGTTCTTCTGAGATAAAGAATATTAAATAGGCCAGAAACTCAGATCTACTTAAAGAAAAAAAGAGCAAATATTTTATTTTTCTATTCTTAATTTGTCTAACAGAACAGTTTGTTACAATAACAATAATGTATCTGGTGATTATACCTTATGGGAAGTGAAATGAATGACAGCAAATGTTATAAGAAGTTATAAGGAAAAACTGTACTTCTGAGAAGATGGCAACATGAGCACTTCTAAAATCCAGCCCACCTCCCCATAAACAACAAGATAAGCAACTAAAATCTATACTCAATCTTGTGAGAACTCTGAAATAGCAGGCAAAGGGTGGCAGCAAGGAGCTGCAAATGAAAACAAGGTAAGGACAAGCCTTAAACTGTATGAAAAAGAAATCAAAGGGATCTTAATTAAGGAGGAAGATGTAAAACTATCCCTTTTTTCAGATGACATGATCCTGTATCTAGAAAGTCCCAAGAATCCACAAGAAAGCTAACAGAGCTATAAATGACTTCAGCAAAGTGGCAGGGCATAAGGTCAACACATACAAATCAGCCAGGTTTCTATACGTCATCAATGAGCAGTCTGAAAAGGAAATGAAGGGAAAATTGCATTTACAATAGCATTTAAAGAATAAAATGTCTAGATATAAATTTAACCAAGGAAATGAAAGACTTCTTTCTACACTGCAAACTATGAAACATTACTGAAAGAAACTAAAGAAGACCTAAATAAATGGATGTGACTAAATGGCAATGGGTTTGGTTTCTGGTTTGGAAATAAATGGATGGAAATTCTGTGTTCATGGACTAGAAGACTTAATACTGTTAAGATTCAGTAGTATCCAGAACAATCTATAGATTCTAAGCAATGTTTATCAAAATTCCAATATCCTTCTTTGCAGAAATGGAAAAGCTAATAATCTTCTAATTCCTATGGAACCATTCACACATGCACAAAAACCCCAAACCCTTTACCATTGAGTCAATTCTGACTCAAAGTGACACCCGTAGGGTTTCCAAGACTGTAAATGTTTATGGTCATAGATTGCCTCATCTTCTCATGGAGCAGCTGGTAGGTCTGAAGCACCAACCTTCTGGCTAGCAGCAAATGCCTTACCCACTGTGCTGCTGAACCACAAGGGGCCTCAGATAGCCAAAACAATCTTTGAAGAACATAGCAGAAGGACTCACACTTCCCAATTTGATCAATGGAATAGACTGAAAGTACAGAAATAAAACCATACATCTAGCCAGTGCATTAAAGAAATAGAAATAAAAGCTATCCAGCTTGAAAAAAGAAGAAATAAAATAGCTAGGATAACTGAAAATCTCAAGTAATCTACAGCAAAGCTCCTAGAACTAGTCAGTGATTTTAGCAAGGTCACATGATACAAGGTCAATATACAAAAATCACTGTAATAAACAAGCAAAATTTAAAGCTGAAAAAGTATCATTTACAATAATATCAAAGAAGAACTAAATAAACGGAGAGATGTAAAATGTTATCAATTGTCCCCAATTTGATCTATAGATTTACTGCAATGACAATTACAATCAAAATCTCAGTACACATTTTTATACATTTCAACAAAGTGATTATAAAATTTGTCAGGAAGACCAAAGGAACTAGAATAGCTAAACATTTTGGAAACATTTTGGAAAGAAGGACAAAGTTGGGAGACTCATGATACCTGATTTCAACACTTAACATAAAATTATGGTAAAATTGGCAAAAGAATAGGTGCCTAAAGCAATGAAACAGAATAAAGACCCTATAAGTAGATTCACACAGACAAAGTCAAATGACTTTTAACCAAGAAGCAAAGGTAATTAAGTGGAGAAAGGAAAGTCATTTCAATAAACCATGTTGCATTATACATCACATCTTATACAAAAATGAACTCAAAAGGGACCATAGTCCTAAATGTAGAATGTGCAATTATATTTCTAGATGAAAGCAGGAGGAAATCTACACGATGCTGGATTTTTCAGAGTTTTTTAGATATGATTCCCACAGCACAATCTATTTAAAAAACTGGCCAACTTGTACTTTATTTACCCAACTTGAAAACTTTTGCTCTGTGAAAATCCCTATTTAGCAAATAAAAAGTCAAGCCACAGACTGGCAGAAAATATTTTCTAGAATTTATAAAATTAAGTTCAAGACAAGAGAAAGTCTAAGAAAAAGAAAGTATTTTAGTCTGTGTTAATGCCAAGAACAATAGTTCTCCAAGCAAAATGTAGGCCTGAAGGAATTATTTTATGTTCTGACTATATTCGTTCAGCTCCCCAGTGTTTCTGTGTGCTTTAAAGACTAAGCACCCAGATTATACTGTATGTCTCCAAAATTTTGTTTCAATTGAAAAAAGGCCACTGTTAAGTATAGGTGGAATGTATCATTTGAAACAATTAATGAATTTTATAAAAGAACAAATCTGTATGACGCTGAGTATAAAAAATCAAAAGGAGTATTTTCAAATTAGTTTTCACAAAGGGGCTGAGATTGAGCCAATGGCAGTTAGTTCTGGAAATAGAGTGCTGTGAAAAGAGCCTTAGAGCCTTATCTAAGCTTTAATATACTAACTAATGAGACTGAATTAATGTGATCTTTATTAACAAAGAGAATGCCTATATGAAGCAACTGCCAACTTTGGAGTTCAAAGTACTTCCTCAAGAATTTCTATTTCATGAGTAAACTAAATACACACGTGATAGTCAGGCTTCTATCCCAGACTTAGTCTCCATCTTACCTTAATGTCTCTAATCCAGGACTGAGCCCTTTTCAAATTATCTTCATTAATATCAGCAAGTTTTTCACACCAGGCAACTGCTTGAGCATCAAATGTCACAAAATTGAATTTATTTTTATATTTCAGCTGTTCCTGTAAGAAACAATTATCATTTAACCATAAAACCATGCAAATATAACAAAAGGTTAGGACAGCTCACAGTATGATACATTTTAATCACTGTGGTATTTATGATATCTATTTTGAATTCTAGCAGCTAAAAATTACTCTCAATACAGAAATTTTTTTCTAGTACAAAAGGCATTTAAATAAGATGTATATAGTTTGGATGTTGATAAGACCTTTAGAAATGTATATTCTACATGTGTGTGTGTATCATCATATCCCATACATGTATAAATTTTATATAAAATATAGTATTAAATTTTGACTTTATTTATTTATTTATTGTGATTTGGGTGAAGATTTACAGAGCAAATTCACTTTCCATACAGCAGTTCACATATACTTTGTCTCATGTCATT